GTGTGTGTGTGTGTGTGTTCGATGAAGTATCGTTGGCCCAGGAGGCTCCTGGGTTGCTACGGCCTTCACCCGTGAGAGATACGTAAGGGCTTCAGGCTGGTGAACACCCACATGGCTGACGAAAGAAATCTTGCACATAGCCACGCGTCGTTCTTTAAACCCTTGGAAGTTTCAATGCTAGCATACGCCGATTGGCCTTGCAACCCTCAGGTATGCACTGCACCCTAGCTAAGCCGCACAACCCTAAACCGTAAAGGCTAAAACTCACTGAGTTCCCACGTCCTAAACCCTATGTCCCTAAACCCTAAGTCCCTAAATCCTAAACCCTAAGTCCCTAAACTCCACTCCCTAAGCCCCAAAACCGTAAAGCCCAAGTCTCCCTGGCCCCGTCCTTGGAGAGGTCTGATCGCTTTGGCGGCCCCCGAAGCCGTCGCGGAGCGGGCTAATGGAAAAAGAAAAGAAGGCATTGGTGGATTCTCAAAGTTTAGGGTTTAGTGTTTAGGGACCCCAACGATATTTCAGGATTATGCGCGGATTATATGGGTCCCCTTTAGGATTGAACAGGGGCGAAGGGCAAATGAGTGTTGAACATCCTTCGCATTACAGGTTTGTGCGGGGTTTGATTGCAATAAAGAACGTAGGCTCCAACTTCAACAGCCTCAACTATCTCAGATATCATGGTCGATCATTCAGGGCTCGTATATTAAAACCTGCGCCACTTGAGAGAGAAGGACGCTCCCGGCTGCCCCTTTCAGGAAAAGTTCTTGGATTGCAGATTCGGGTTGTGACGTGTTGTGTCATGGGCTCACGGTTCGCGCGCCAGACAGACTCCACTTAAATCTGTGGGGTCATGGCCCCTTAGTATATGCATCACAAAACCCATGATACCCCAAAACCCTAAACCCCACCCCCCTGACCCAACAACCTCAGATTCTAAACACCGATCCCTATTCTGGTACATTTTCTATTCCTATCACTACTTCTGAATTATGACTGTTACATTTACTTGTCTTATTACAAGTATGAGCCCCATTGTCGTCACAGCAGAGCTAATGAGAAGAAAATGAGCCTTCTACCCTTTCCTCTGTGGGCCCAGCTCACAACTGTGGACGCGGTTTAGGGTTATTGCGAAGACTTTGGGCTCATCACACACACATGGGCTGTGTGACAGGTTGGGGCTTGGTACCGCAACCGTTTGGCTCAAGCTGGACAGTTTTGCATTGACGGCAGCTGTGCCCGGATCTTAGAGACACAGGGGTTGCTCAAAAAAATGAACCCTAAACCCTAAACGCCTAAACCCTAAACCCCTAACACCCTAACCCCCTAAACCCCTAAACCCTTAAACCCCATATCCCCAACAGCATCCTTGGCTCCTTTTTCAGACTTTCCCTACTTGGGGCCTGTCTAGAGCTGTGGGTGTTTAGGGTTTAGGGTTAGGTTTTAAGGTTTAAGGCTTAAGGTTTAGGGTTGAGCGTGTTGAGTGATTCTGCCTGTATGCGGGTTATAGGGGGACCGAATGGGGTGTTGGGCTTCTGTCTGTTTTATGCTATATCTGCATAACACGTATTCAGAAAATATGGTTCTCGTTATTCCTGCTTCTAATTTGGTGTTGGCAGGGGTTGTGTCAGGTTTGCAGCTAAGAGGGTGCTCTTAGGTTGTCCTGTCAAAGCTCAACGTTTCATTTCCGTGCGGTAAGAACTATGAGAGCGCTGTGGATGTGTTGGGTGTAGTTGGAGTCCTTACGAATATTGGCGGGTGTTTGTAAGTCCATTTAGAGAGACCATAAAACTAGAACGCTACCATGATGTAGTTTAGGTTGGGCGGGTACCCACTAGTAGTGACCACAGGGGAGAAAGGTAATTACATTGGGGCCTCTATATGGGGGTTTCCTAAATTTAGGGCTACGTTTTGGGGGTCCATATAAAACCTAAACCCTAAATTTTTAAATCCTAACAAGAAAGAATTATAGTATTTTGGGGTTGATATTGGTTCCCGCTACTTTGCCTGGGTCAAGGCCAGGCTGTGTCAGACCTCCAGACTCACTTTAAGCCTAAAGATATAACTTTAGCCTGGCTCCTAGGACTTTGATTTTGAGACTTCAATTTCAGGAGGGGTCCTGCAATCAGCTCATAATGTAATGACGGAGGGCAGATGATGTTGTTTATCGTAGAAGCTTGATCTTAGGGATCTTATCCGCTGGAAGCCCCAAAGCCCTTAAGAACAGTTCCATATAGCCCGAAACCTTTTTCCTAGCAACTTAGGCTCCTGGACTCCTACATGGGTGGTTGTCAAAATTATGGCCCCTTTTTGGATCCTTATTATAATACGGCACCTAATATTTAGGGTACCCGAAAAGGGACCATCCTTTTGACAACCACTTACATGAGCAGTACCTTGCGGCCAAGGTTGTCCGGGAGATGATCAACAGACCGCAAGGCGGTTAGCTCGTGTTTCTGTCCCTGGTAATTGACATATCCAGGGGGGGGGGGGGGGGG